TGTATCTGTTTTTGTGCCAGTGCCATCCTGCTGTTGTTATTATTATTATTTATTATTATTATCATTATTATTACTCTGTTTTGAAATCAGGCATTGATACTTCTAACAATATTCTTTTTATTCAGGATTACTTTGCCTATCCAATGTCTGGTGTGCCTCCATATAAATATTTGGATTATTATTTTCTATTTCTTTGAAAAATGTTACTATAGTATTGATTGGGATTATACTGAATATATAGATTTCTTTTGGTTACACAGTCATTTTCATAAAATTGATTATTCCAGTCCATGAACCAGCATCCTCCACTTGAGGGTATGACAGTCCAGAATAGATGGTCCAGTTCCTACCAGTACCAAGCACCTGTAGAAATTGCTTTTGAGAAGCATAGTCTTGAAAATCCGTGGTTTGGGGTCTTGGTTTGGGCAGTTCAAGGTACCCTCTTAACTTACATTATACATAGAGCAGCAGAGATACACTAAGCCTGTGTGCACATAAGTGAACACATACACATGTACACACACACACATGTTCAAATGCATTCAGATCTATAAGCTCACATACACACACACACACACACACACACACACACACACACACACACACACACATCTGAACTGTAGTAGTTTTAATGAGAATTGTCTCCCACAGTCTCAGACAACTGAACACTTGGTCCCTTAGTTGGTGGTGCTGTTTGGGAAGGTTTAGGTGGTGCCACCTTGCTTGAGGAAGTACATCACCCAGGGCAGGCTTTGAGGTTACAAAGTTTCACCTACATCCAGTCCACTCTCTTTCCTGCTCATGGTTTGAGAGTGAGGCTTCTGCATCCTGCCTTACTGCCTGCTGCTGTACCTGCACTCTCGTCAGGGACTGCCAGTTCTCCAGAACCATAAGCCAAAATAAATTCTTCCTGAGGTCACACTTGGTCATATTGTCCAACTGCAACAACCAATACAGCTGCACACTCACACGCGCTCACAAACACAGTTACACAGTCTTGTGAGCACAGATGCATTCATGCACGCTCCAGGGCTTTTCTCACCTTCTCTCCCTCAGCACTCCTCAGCCCCAGAGGTTCTAGAGGGACAAAATATGGACCAGTGTGGAAAAGTCAGAATTTTTTTTTTTTCGAAATAGATAGCTCTGTGGCTAGGGCCCTCATTCTTCCTCACGCAGAGCTAAAATCACCTGGGACTTTAGAACAAGGTCCACATGAGTGAGGCAGAACTGCAAGATGGAAAATGTAGGATTTCATCCGCAGAAGAGGAGAGAAACAAATTGAAAATATTTACATGAGGGTACAATGATGACAGTCTCTCTGAATGGGAGAGGCACTGAGTGAGGCAAGAGGCTCCTAGGGGACTTCGGAGGCATGCTCAACCATGCTGCTGTCATGCCCGCTGGCCAGAGGAGGTGCGGAGGTAGAATGCAGAGCCTGCCCCCCGCTCCACACCTCGACACACACAAAGGTAGGTGCCCCTGAGTGACAGAAAGAGCATTCTGTGCATTTTGTTGAAGAGGGGAAGTTCTTCGCTGTGAGATATGCAGCTATCTTAACATTATAACTTAACAGTCTGTGACAGCTGGATTTCCCACTCACTGGGGAGCAATGTTGAGCTCAGAGGATGTGTGTTACAAACTGAGATTATTGCCCATTACTTTGGATCATGGTTTTATGGTTCTGCTTTGGATTGCTGGAGCTCTTCCTGGAAGAAGGTGATGCATGTCCTTTACCAATAGCCGACTCACCAAGCTGTGTCTTCTCATTTAACTCTGGGATTCTCCCTTCTGACTCAGGTCTCTCCTGGAGCACCAACATCGGCCAGTGCGTTCCTCTGTTCCCCTCCTCTCTTTGAGTCGGGGAGTTTTGGAGAAACCACAAACCTTTTGATGCTCCTGCCAATCAACTTTTGCATCTTCCAATCAGTGGGGTTCACTAAGCATCATAATAACGAAGTTACCAAAAAACTAAACTCATATTAAGCATTCTTGTTTGAGTTTCCATGTAATTTTTTTTCCTTTGCAGGAACATTCATGGTATTTATTTGATCACCAAGCCAACTTAGGTTAAAAAAATACATTTTATTATTCTTCTCAAAACACTTCCTGTTTAGGACTGCTGCATTAATTGTATGGAGATCAAACTTGACACAGGGGACCCTTGGTGCCTTTGGAGTATCAGGATACCCATGTGGACCAATACACTCAGGTCTATATGAAGCAACACAATGGTTGTGTATAACCTGCAGACATCCTTCTATATACATAATCATTCCTGAATTACAGATAATACTCAGTACAACACTAATGATGTACAAACAGTAATTACCTTGCATTGTTTATGGTATAATAACAAGAAACATCTCTACAATTTAGATCAGACAGAATTTTTAAGAGAGAGAGAGAGAGAGAGAGAGAGAGAGAGAGAGAGAGAGAGAGAGAGAGAGAGAGAGAACCTTCCTTGCTTATGCCTTGAATAAACATCTGTATAATAATTAGTTGTTGTAGCCCAGGGCTCCTGGCCAATCAGAGAAAAACACTCCAAAAACACTTCTTTCTAGGGAAATGCAACAATGTAATTAATTGATATCATGGCTGGGCCTGAGCTGAGGCCAAAGGTCCCCACTAAGTCCTTAAGGACAGTTTCTCTGGGATTCCTGCTTTGACCGTGATGCTCTGAAGTTACCTCAGCTTCTTCAACATTGTCTTTTCCTAGGGTTAGTGAGAGCCAGTACGAGAGAGCTCCCACTGGCATCATCGGGGAGCTCCTTCAGGCCTATCTGAGCTGCTCAAAATGTGTGTCTTTATAGTAACAGATTTTCCTCTTCGTGGGGAAGCCAAATACTGAGTGATTCTTTCTTTTTTACCATTCTTTCCCTTGGTTTTAAAAGCTACCTAAAATTAAGTCAAACAAGCCCAAGAATGGAGCAAACACAAAGCGGTGTTCTGTGACATGTGGCTAAGCCACACACCTGCCTGCAACACCTGCCAGGCAAGTTGGGTAAGCTGCTAGATCACTTTCTCCTGCTCAGACCACATCAAGACAGGAGCCCTCACCTGCCTTATCAGCCAGGAAACAGCAAGACACAGAAGAAGCCAGAACCAATTATCCCATTCAAGGGCATGCCCTTACTCAGACTGTCCCTCTAGGCTCCGCCTCTTAAGTTTCCCCACATCTCGCTACTGGGAAGTGTGATCTTGCCTTTAACATGTGGATCCCTGGATGACATTCAACATCCAGATGAGAGCATCCTGCCCCCACCCTGACCACCTCATAGCCATGTCCACCTTCCACCCCCCTCTGAGCCCAAACCAATGGTTAGTGTGGAAGTTCCGAAGCTGTGAGCCACACTGAAGCACTTTTCCTTTATGAGTTCATTGTTACAGGTGACAGAAAGCTGAATAATTTGCTTGTTTTTAGAACACATCCAGTTACAAAAACAAGAATGTTCTGTTAGTTTGAGCAGCCTTATCTATCCCAAAATGAATTCAGCACTGGAACTATTCGGTGATTGCCTTCACGGTGGGATCCCCACTAAAGCCTGTGCTCAGGGGCGGGACATGCTTTATGACCAGTTCACACCCCAGGAAAAATACTGAGGTATTTCCAGTGAGGAGGTAGTGGATTGTATTCCAGCCGTGAACTTTACATTTGAGGCTATCTCTGGCTTCCAGTGGCTGAATGAAATAAGGTTGATAAAGACTGGAGATGCACACAAGCAGGTGGTTTGGGGGTAGCATGCAGGCGGAAGTTTCTCTCCGGCCTGCCTGTTCCCAAATACCCAGGAGCCGCTTCTTAAATAATTGACTCTGAGGCTTAATAATACCTATAAATGCTTGGCCAGTAGCGCTTACACTTAAATTAACCCATAATTCTTATTTATGTTTAGCCACGTGGCTTGGTACCTTTTCTCAGTTCTGCCTTCACATCTTGCTTCCTCTGCATCTGGCTGGAGACTCCTGACTCCACCCTTCTTCTTCCCAGAATTCTCCTTGTCTGCTTATCCCACCTATACTTCCTGCCTGGCTACTGGCCAATCAACGTTTTATTAAACCAATTTGAGTGACAAATCTTTACAGGGTACAAGAGCATTATCCCACAGCAGGAGAGTATCTTAGTTACTGTTCTATTGCTGTGAAGAGACACCACAGGCCAAGGAAACTTACAGAGCAAAACATTTCATTGGAGGCTTGCCTAACAGTTTCAGAGGGTAAATTCATAGCCATCATGGCAGGGAGCCTGGTGGTTGGTAGGCAGGCATGCAGGCATGGTGCTGTAGCAGTAGCCGAAAGCTTACCCCTGACCCACATGGAGGTAGAGAGAACCAAAGACTGGGTCTAGGGTAAGTTTTTGAAACCTCAAAGCCCACCTCCAGTGACACACCTCCGACTCCTTCCTAAACAGTTCACCAGTTCAGGACCAAGCACTCAAACATATAAGCTTATGGGCCGTTCTTCCTCAGACCACCACAGAGGGTCTCACTGTGGATCTGACCGCTCCTCCCTGTCCACTCAGTCTTCCTTATCACCATGCTTGTTACCCCGTATCATAAGACAATGGCTGGCCCAGAGTCAAGACGATGCAGGGCAAGGGGCAGAGAGGACATGTCCTGTCCGCACACTCATTTAGAGAGGCGGGATAAACTTTCACCCACAGTTTGGTAGAAACTCTACCAGGAAAGCCAGGAAGAGTTTCCCACTCCATGACGAGGTTCCCACAGGAGTGTAAGGTGGACTCTCAGATGACGGAAAACTGTCAGGTGAGTAACGGAAGGTGACGTGCTGCACTGACCGTGGGTGGAGGATGGTCATAGCACTGGGGCAGGCATGTGTGAGGTCTGAACTTGTCATCAATGCTGATGGAGAGAGACCTGGGCTTTCCTATCAGTTTCCTGAGTGTGAGGAAAAGGAGATGAATGAGGAGTGAGATAGCTCAGTAAGTATTCCCGTGTGCATATGAAGACCAGAGTTTAATACCCAGAGCCTGTAAAACAGACAGGTGTTGTACCACACACTTTTATTTTTGTCATCAGGAAGCAGGAGTGGATCCCATGGTCATTTCACGGCTGATCAGCCAGCCTAGTCCAATCATCTAGGGAGACCCTGTCGCAGGAAAGCAAGGCAGACAGCACCCTGCAAAGCAACATCTGAAGCTGACTTCTAGCATGTGCGCATGCGTGCGCGCGCACGCACGCACGCACGCACGCACGCACACACCACACATATCTACTCCCTCATACACATATAAACATGCAGACATGTGTACACTTATACATACACATACACAGATAAACATACATACACACATACATATACACACACATACACACTCATACACAGTCACATACATACATATACATACATATGCACATACACATATATACATGTACACACATGCACATAGACCTTAACCACTCCCTCCACACACATGAACATGCACAGACATGCACCTTTGCAGGATTATTTCACCCCAGCTTTCTGTCTCCTTCCTGCTCACTAGCAGTGAGGTGCCTCCTCTGTTCCCCACTCGCTGTCAGACGCACAACTCTCCACAGACCTGCTGCTGGGTGACATTGTTCTGACAAATAAAGCTTGCTTGATGTCAGAGGGCGGAGCTAGCCACTAGTTAACCATAGAGGCCAGGAGGTCTGTACAGATAGGAGACAGGAAGTGATAAGGTGGGTCAGAGACAGGATCTCAGCCCTTTTGGTTGGAGGATCTGGAGAGGAAGTGACTGGCTGTTCCCCTGCTTCTCTGATCTTTCAGCTTTTACCCCGATATCTGACTCCTAGTTTTTATTGATAAGATTAATTAGGTTTACACATCACTCTGCAACATCAGAGCCAAGCAACCATGGTTAGAAACCTCCGAAACTGTGGGCACAGATGAACCTTTCCACCTTGGATTGTTTACCTCGGGCATTTTCTTGTAGCAATGGAAAGTAACTGATATGTGTTGATGATCCTCCCTTGAGAGCTCATGGAGAGAAGTCAGGGGCTCCGCTGCCCCAGTGGACAACCATCAGTACAGAAAGAGACGCAGGCAGGGGTGAGCAAGGGAGTGGCAGGCTCACCAGCCCAGCATCAGGACCCTCCTGTGAGAGAAACATACAGATGCAGGCATCTTGACATTTGTTCCAAATGCTGCTTCCTTTGGTGAAGAGCAAAGACAAAAATTATGATTAAACAAAACAAATAAACAAAAATAGTCTAGGGGCTGGGGAGATGACTCAGTCAGGAAAGTGCTTCCTTTGCAAGTGTAAAGATCTGAGTTCAAACCCCGGAACCCATATGAGGAAGCTGGGCATGGTGGTGCCTTTGTGATTCCAGTGCTGGGGAAGTGGAGACAGGTGGACAGGTCCCTGGGGCTCAGTGGTCAGGCAGCCGAGTCATCAAGTTCCAGGTAAAAATGAAGGGAAAAAATCTTTTAAAGGCAGATGGTGTTCTGAGGAACGACACTCCAAGTCGGCTGCTGGCTTCCACCTGTGTGAGCACACATGGGTGCACCCATGCACACACCCATGCACTCTGCTTCATATACACACATGAGAGAGGGGGGGGAAAGAAAGAGGGAGGGAGGGAGAAAGAAAGAGACATAAGACAATCACACACACACACACACACACACACACACACACACACACACACCCCGTGTCTAACTCTGGCTTCCAGGCTAGAGGGTGTAATGTTTTAAACCCTAGATGGAGCATCATCTAAAAGATTATTCCTAAGAAGAATTTTCCACAGTGGAAGGAAAAGAGGGGAGGGAAAATGTCAGAAGAATTAGATAAAACTTTTCCAATACACGGCTGTCTAGGGCTTGCCGTGGAAGAACAAAAGTGTAGGAAAAAGTGTGTCTCCTTCCAGTTCCCCAGGCTCCTACCTCTCCTCTCCTCGTGAAACATTCCATCTACAGATGTTGCTTCCAGTTAAAGAACAACCCCGAGGACGGGAATCTAAGGACATGGGACCCTCCCAATAGGATGTAGATATGACATCGAGTGTCTGGGCCGAGTCTGTGCCCAGGTCCATCTGCAAAATCCAGTCCCTTCCCCCTGAGTCACAGACACTGATTTTTGGCCTCTCGTTACAGGGGAAAGAGAGGGGAACACCCTTTCCATGTGGGGCTGATGGAGAAGCCAACGAGCTGGCTGCTTCAGGGAGCTGCAGGTTCCCGGCAATGTGCTCACACTCATCTCTAAGGATTCAACCAGAAATCACTTTGGTTTGACATTTTCTTTACAACTTTGATGTGTTTAATCCCTTCTGTGTTTCTTCAAGGTTTTTGTCTGACTAGTCCAAGTTCAAAAACCCACAAACAGAAAGGACATAAAATTCAACAACCAATATAGATAGGTATCCAGCTAAGGTGTCCTGCCTCCCTTCCCTCATCATCCCCTGAGAGCCAGAGGGCTCTGCAGACAGAGATGGGCACAGGAGGTCTGAAAGACGTCTTCTTAGGATCTGACTCTTTATTTTTCCCTCTTTTGAAGCACTTGAAAAAAATTCCACTGCAGCCTGGTCCACAGGAAAGGTGCTGACTTTAACCACATTTTTGGTACTCCATAAAAGCTAAATAAGAATAATAAGGTTGTGTTTTTGTTTTTGTTTCATGAGAAAGGTGCCATAGAGAGGCACAACACAGCCGCAGGCCACCGAGCAAGCCAAAGACAGAGAAAGGCCCCATCCTTCCGGCTCATCTGAAAACAAAAACTGGGGTCACAAAGGAGATGGCCACGGTGGCAGCATGGGCTGGGTGCCCCCTCTGCTCTAAGAGAAAGCAGAGCGTGTGTCTCCTGTGCTGGCCCCGTGGCTCTGACTGCCCCTGCCCTGCGGTGGAAAAGGACATTCCTCCTTGGATTTATCATTTGATGCAGATGTTTGGCTCAACTTTCCTGATCTTGTCAGCAAAGCTGATGTTAAAACCTTGGAACGATCATCCTGCTTGCTTATGTTTTCTTATGAGGTGTAAATTTGTAGAATGGGCATTGCTTTTTTGTTTTTTCTTTTAACTGTAGCCTCAGAAGGAATTTCCACTTTGTATCTTCTTGATACACACACACACACACACACACACACACACACACACACACACACACACACACACACACACACACACACACAAGCAATATGGACTTTGACCGAGGCGTTGCAGATGGCTAACCCTCTCTCAGCCTCTGAACTTGTCAAAGTCTGCAAAGGACACAAACAAAGAGGAATTTGCTGGATTCTCAAGTTGAGACCTTCCGTAGGGGCAGACGACCGGATGCCAGTTCACCCACCCAGCTTCCTGGTCTGAAATGGTTAACGAGTAGCTCGCAGGTCCCGAGAAGCCAAAGAGGCTGTGGTAACAAGTTAAGCATTAGGGAGAAGCCGCTCTTGAGCTTGAGTGCCGAGGACCGGCTGCTCCCAGGAGAGACCTACACTGTTGTGGACTTTCCTATCTGAGATGAACGGAAAGTTATTTTCAAATGCATCCGAGCTGCCGAAGATCCATTCTGTCGGGGGAAGCCATTCCTTTCTGAAGCAGTGTCCATGTTTACAGACTCTGACTTTAAACAGAAACATTTATTTTCTCACTAGCTAAGTTCCTGGCACCCTCTACGAGGGAGGTTTACTTACTTTTTTTTTTATCAACTAACACTTGACTAAACATGAATTTCAAAACTGACTTTTCATTTTTATTTTAAAAATATATTTCTTTTGCTAGGGAACATCATATTTACGTGTTTGGTCCATAAAACTCAGCTTCTCTGAGCTGTCTTTCAACTGTAGCTTTTATAAATGGCTTCCACAATCAACAGGTGGGACCAGCCACACGCATTCTGCTTACTAAAAACATCCTACATGTGTATTATCACTGCTATCGAATTTAATGATCACCCCAAACCTGATGCATTCATTTACATGATTGATGGATTCTCTGCAATTTACTGGAATTAATGAGGATAGAGACACAATTTTTTTTAAGTGCCCAGGATCTGGACCATCACGGAACATATTGTACCTTATTGTAAAACAAAAATAGCCTTGGACAGACCGTGGAATGTGCTCTCGCAGGATAATCAGTTCTTTACTGCGGCTTTCCTGCCAGCCGGGGAGCCCTGCGTCACACAGAGCGGATGCCAAGTGTCTGGTTTGCACTTTGGTAAGACATGTTTTTCTTGCTGCGAGTTTTCAGGTTTGCAGTTTCCCCCTGAGTGAGCACAGAGCCTTCGGGTCACCTTCCCATGCACTGGGAGCCTTGCTTTCGTTCCAGGTATTTCAAAAAAATGGTCGGCATATTGGAGTTTCAAACACAGGTGGGCAGGAGGAGCCTCCAGACTTGGGGTGTTGCCTGCTGGACACTGTCGATCTGTGGGTGGACATGGAAGTCTGGGGCAGCTTGGTGGAAGTGAACTTTCTCCTGGCTGAGTCCTCTTCTATCAAAAACAAACTTGTTAACATCTTCAATGAAGTGTTGGAATGACGCCTTTGATGAACTTGGGTGGAGACATGTTTCTGATCTAATAGTGGGTTTTTTATCCTCATAAAAAACGGGACGATACCTCTTTGGAGTCAAAGATTTGAGCGAAAAATTTGCTCTCTGAACCCCTTGTCCGCTTGGTGCCCATGGTTGCTGTTTAATAACCTATCTGCAGACAGAGACTGCAGGACAGTGCAGCAGTTTGATGACTGGCAGGAGCCCTCCGGGGTCTGGTGACCTCTCACTCACTCTGTTCATGCCTCACGCTGCTTAGGGCAGGCAAGACTGTGGCGCACTTTCCTAGTTTCTCTTGGATGTTTACCCAGGCAGAAAATGCAGTCAAAGACCGCATTAGGCATCCAATGCTGATGGGCTTTCCAGGCTGATTTGAGGTTGTTCCCGAATGTACACTCTTCTCACACATCCTTCTCTGATGCTGGTTTCTGCCACATTAGTGCTAGTCCAGGTCACCTGTGAGCCAGGATTTCACATGTGGTCACTTGTGGAAAGGCACTCTACAATCGCTGTTACACACACACACACACACACACACACACACACACACACACACACGTCCTCATCCAAGGCCAAGCTGGGGAGACACCTGGGCTGAGAGGAAGGACTTTGATAAGGAGAGGATTTGGGGGTGGGGAAGTGGCTCAGTCAGAAAAAGACTTGCCACACCAGCTTGAGGATCCACATCTGATGCCCCCCAGGTGTTAAAAAAAAAAAGCATGGTCACATGCCTATAACCTCAGTCCTGGGGAGGCAGAGACAGGAGGATTCCTGGGTGTATTGCCCAGCCTGTCCAGCTGGATCAGTGGACTCCAGGATCTCTGACAGACCTTGTCCCAAAAAATAAGGTTGGGAGTGACTATGGAAGACACCAATGGCAACCAATGGCTACTTTGGCCTCTGAATACATATACATATACATATTCACATACGCATACATACATATATATATATTCACATACACTTACTTGCATATACAAATTCACATACACATACGTGTTCACACACACACACACACACACACACACACACACACACACACACACATTCTTTTGCTGAAAGTCCTCCCGGCTCACACAGTCCAGTCCCCACATCAGGCTTCCCCAATGAGGCTTTCTCTGTGACTGCTGGTTAACTGCTCCACCCTTCAGGGCTCTGACAGCTCTCTAGGTAAAGGTAACTGGGTACCTGGTTGGTTTTATTTATTGCTGTCACCGTAACACAGGAAGAGTGTCCACCCACAACAGATGCCTGACTAAAGCTTGGTAGATGCTAAGTCAATAAAATTATTTAATCAAACATTACAGTGTCCAGGGAGAGACAAACTATGAAGACTCCATCCTTGCGTTCCTTGTTTAGACTCCGTTGACAGCTGAGAACAATACATTTTATGCTCTCTTGGCAAACTTTTATCTAGAAAAGGCCAGCTTGCAAATAGTTTTAGCTTGTGATACTGTTTCTTTGTCAAAGCCATGTAACTGTGCCATTTTACCCGGAGAGTCTCAGTAAACAATCTGTAAACATATGAACATGGAGTCTCAGTAAACAATCTGTAAACAGATGAACATGGCCACTGTTGCAATAAAACTTTACTGAAACAGGTGGCGGGTTGCATTTGGCCTGGAGAGTGGGGTTTTCTGGTCCTTTGACTAGACTTTCATTCCCATCCAAGAGCCATTTCCTGAGAGCTGGAGTGAGCTG